AACCTGTTGGGTGAACCAATTCCCATATCAGCCCCAGGTAGACAATGATCAAATTCTAGAAAATACTAAGTTTCACCTCAAGGTGAACAAACCTGGCCGGCTCGTCTAAATGCTCTTTCATCTTCACCTCGGACAACCCAAATCAAAGTCACTTCAGTAATCCCTGAATAGATCATATACCAACCTAAAGTACATGCATAAAATTAGACTAATGCCAGGTTAGCATAAGCCAAAACCCGTCTAGATCGAGTCAAACAACAAATGTAGACCTCTAACACTTATCCATCATGTTAGCCGCATAAATATTCGACCTTAGTGATAAAAGGTCAGATCCTAGGCAATTTTTCAAAGCCCATATTTTTAGAGTTTGAGTTCACAAACATATGTAAAAAAAAGGCTAATCACACTCCAAACAATGTAATACTTGGACTATTTGGCGATGGGACCGAATGTCAAGGGCATTTAGTGGTCAAAAGGGTATTGTAATTTTTTCCCTTATTAGAGATTCTTAACAAACAACTAGGGGCATTTTGGACATTTGGGCCAACTTAACATATCAGACTGACTTGACATATTTAGTACCATATTAGTTTGGTCATGTCACTATTGCTCCCTATGGGCCCCTCGCCTTTTGCCTATAAATATGGACATCCAAAGTACTATCATTTCATTCTATATCTTGCTCCAATTTCCTATCTTTCTTGCTTTCTCTCTTTTTGACCTTCTTTATATCATTCTTTGGCTTACGTGTTAGAGTGCAAATGTAGAGAACATTCATTGCCTTTGCTTCTAACTTTTTTTTTCTTTTTTTTATCTTTTTAGAGATACCTTTAAGTTGAAGCTTGGCACAAACAATGGTATTGAAGGAAGTTTTAGGCTAGGAATTTTTAAAGGAGAGGGAGCCTAGGACAATGTGAGAGACAGTTGAAAATAGAGGTTTTTGAAATGATGGAATGTGGGGATTTTTTGGTTAGAGTGAAAACTTTCGTGCTAGGTTTAGGAAATCTACAAACTTTTGGAAAAATCTAATCTTGTTGGTTGAAAAAAAGGATCAAGGGGAGTTTCTTGTTGTTTTTTGGAAGCCAACCAACATCGATGAGTGGCAGTCGACAATGACTAAAGGTGGAAAAGGTGGCAGCCAGTGGCAGCAAATTGTAGGAATCTGGGATTAGGTAGCTAATGTTCTTGGATTTTGAGAGTGTTGAAAGCTTTTTTTAAAGGAAATGTTTACAATGAAATAAGAAAAAACATATCTTTTATAAAAAAAAATGAAACGATTAATGAGCTGGATTGGACCTAAGGTTTACGCACCCAACTTGTGCTAGGCTGCAACTGGTCATCCTTGGATTGGTCCAATCAAACTGTGACTAAATTGGTCAAATATGTCTCATCACCTAAATAGTCTGAGGAACCATTGAATTGGACCAAACCATTATTAAACTATTGACCAATTTTGACCAACTTTTTTGGATAATTTTTTTATTTGTATACTTTATTAAGTTATTTATTTGTTTATCTATACACTTTTAAATTTTAAAAATAAATATATATTTTAAAAATCTTCAAAAAAAATCATTCGATGATGAAATATTAAGGAAATATGAGTAGTGATTCCTTAAAAATCTTTAAGTGATGATATTTTTCTAAAATGCTATTAAAGTACTGGAATATTTAGGAAGATATTCAATACAAAATATTTCATTTACTTATTTTTTATATTGTTAAAATTAAAAAAAAATAACGAATGAGTTTTTTTAGGAATAAAATTACATATAATAATGCATGAATATTATTGACATTAATTAATTAAAAAATACGATCATTCGAAAATGGTATTTTAAGGAAATCCTAGTGGTGATTTCTAAGAAATCTATAGGTGAAAAAATTTCTCCTAATGTTACCAATGTCTTTGAATGTTTCAAGAAATTTTCAATAACAAGTTTCCAATTTATTTTTCAAATAAAAAAGGAAATAATATTTTTTATTTAAAGTAAAAGAATTAAAAAGAGAAAATTTTTTGAAGGAAATTAAACAAATCAAAATTATGATAAAAAAGGTTAAAAATAATTTTTAAATATCAAAATTAAAACTTTTTTTATCACTATTAAAGGATAACACATGATTACTCTATAATGTTTTAAAAAGGTCAATGTGGCATATTAATTTTTCTCCACATATAATCGTATTTTCAAATTTAAATTATTTTGACAAACATAAAAATTATATTTTTAATAAATTTTAATTAATTTTAAATTTTATTAAAAATATAAAATTTTTTAAGTGATCAATCACATTTGACCAAAATAAATAATAACCACTTATATTTTTCAATTCGAATGGCGGTTCTCAAAAATAAAATAACTAATTAAATATGTAAAGAAAAAATAGAATTTAAATAAAAAATAAAAAATAAAATAAAAACGAAGGAAACTGACGCACGGCAGGTCTTATATCCATTAAGTAAAACTTACACTGATTAATATCTAGGATATATATAGATAGATATAATCGCAATTAAAGACTTTGAAGGCTTGAAATGCTGCCCTAAATTTCTTGGCCCATCTGCCTCATTTGTTTAAAACATACTCTGTGTTCGTGGTGGATTTGGATTCGGTTAGATTCCTCGGCAGAATGGGCTCTTTGACGGTTGCAGATTTTAAGAAGAAAATCATGTCTCGTTGTTATGTAATAAGTTGAATGAGCCACCAACCACCTTCGTCGCCATTTTTTACTGGACCAGGTCATTCTTTTTTACTCAAGTAGATTCTCGAAATTGCACGATTGTAGGAAGCTTAGCTACCTTGCTACACCAGCTCACCACAGACTTCTTTGAACTTGGTCGATTGTTTTGAACAATACATTATTCTTGGAATTCAAACAAAAATGGTTGGAATTCAAACTAAACTTCAATTAAAGTGATTTTTTAGCTCTTAATCATGTTCTGTACGTACTTTAAATTCATTGGATCTAAAATATCTAACCAAATACAAGTTGATTAATGGTCCTTTTTCGGATAGGTAGTTGTTGGTCATGTCAATGGTCTATATAGTAGTATATATTGGCATGTTGTGTCACGAATTATATCTCAAGTGATAACAAAAAATTAACCCAACTTCTATAGCTCCAAACTAAAGCTTTCTTCATGGCTCTTCAATCCTCCAAAATTTTGGTTACTACCTCCAAAGTTTTAGATCAAAAAATTGTTAGGCGATCTGCTAATTACCATCCTACAATTTGGAAGACGATTATGTTTAGTCGCTCAAGAGTGATTATATGGTATGCAGAATGCTAATTACCGATGTGTGTGTGTGTATATATATATATATATATATATATATATATATATTTGAGCATGACAGGTAGCTAATAGAGTTGCTCATCGTCGATGTATAGGGCGAATCATATGGTGAACGAGCAGTGAAACTGTTGGGAGAAGTGAAAATGAGGCTTGACAAGTGGTGGATCCTTTGGAGCAACTCTAGCTAGTCGATGCGGTAAAGAGACTCGGATTATCTCATTACTTTGAGAATGAAAACAAGAGGATTTTGGAGTGTGTAACGGCTGATCATAACAATTTATATGCTACATCACTTGAATTTAGACTCGTAAGGCTGAATGGGTATAAAGTAACTTCAGGTAAAGGTCCAAGTAGTCCAAATAGGCTCCTATAATACTTTTTCAAGCTTATTTGGCTACAAATTCAATAGAAAGGAGTGCTTGGAATGCTTCGAAGAGTGTTCCAACCTAATCAAGTTTTCATCTGTGATTGGACGACTTGCGGATGATCTTGGAACATCATCGGTATGAAATATACAAGCATCATTGCTTGCTGTGAATTGAAATATATTTATGTAATGCTTTACCCTTTGGATTTTCTTGATTAGGATGAGTTGAAAAGAGGCGATGTTCCTAAATCAATCCAATGTTACGTACACGAACTGGATGAAGAAGCCCGTCAGCACATAGGGGCATCGATTGATGCATGGTGGAAAAGGCTAAACGAAGAGCGATTTGCTCATTCTCATTTTTCTCAGACGTTTATTCAAATCGCATTGAACGTGCCAAGGATGTTTCAATGCATGTACCAGCATGGTGATGGCCATGGGGCTGGAGATCGTGAGACCGAGGATCGTGTATTAGCATAAATCGTTTTTCCTATTCCATAAGAGTATTCAGACCAAAATAATTGGAGGTGAGGTGATATAGCAATCCTTTTGTAATAACTTTTTTCAGTTAAATTTCCAAATCTTGAGCCTCTATAAATATAAATTCAAATAATTGATAAGTTTGCTGCTCTTAGCGAGTTTATAGGTAACAAAATTTCTCTCTCTATCCATCTCAATTAGCTTTGTAATAATTTTGCTACGCTAGTGTCTTAATTCCTTGAACATGTGATTTGGGTTTTTTTATTAGTTTATCTTTTCTAGATCAGATATAAACATGTCCATGAATCGGGCTTAATATTTGGTCCGCAAGTAAAGTTTTTATTTATTTATGTTAATTTGGTTTCTAGTCTAATTATATTTTCAGCCATAATTTTACATTATATTAAAGAGCAATATATTAAATTCCCGCAAATAAAAATATTTCTTAGCCAATTCCTTTATTATTATTTTTATTATATCCCTAATTAAGTGTAATAATTAAATTTATCAAATTACTTAAAAAATTGTTAGAATAAAAACATATAATAATTACCATACACATTGCTTCCTACCTTCAAGAATTTCGTGATACACATTGTAAACAATTTGTTCAACCCATACTCTTTTCAGTCTTCAATCAATTAATTAGGATACACACTAGCTACGGAATTTTTTTCAATGGACGAAAATCTTAAACTAACTCTTTTGATAAAAAAAATATATATGCGCTTATTATTTCGTACAAACACTATACCAAAAAGAAAAATGGCTACAGATTTTGTTTTTTAGCGACAAGAGAATTTTTAATTTTATCTAATATATTTTTTCTTGGAACTGATTTAAATGAATTTATTTTCAAGGCCGCATAGACCTAGGCGCACACCTGTCTGAAGAAGAATTATATATAACTGATCGGTTGCCATCCTGATTTAATTTATAAGAATAGATTCGGAAGATACCATCCGGATCAATTTTCATCAGATAGATTGTTTCCTTGGTATCATATTCTCCTATAAATATATCCTTTATGTTGACTCCTGCCGAATTGAGTAAGTACAGACGGCCATCATTGTCGAGATTCAAGCTCACATTGTCTCCTTTACCAAATGTATTAGATGCCCAATACGCAGACCATTCTGTCCATGTATAATTTGCCACCGGGTATTGTATAAGGTTCCCATTGGTCTGCATATTAAGACAAAAGAATCCTTTCGACTGATCAGTATCTGAGACGCTAGAGTATAGCTCTGTCCCAGCTAAGAGCTTTTGTCCTTGAAGAACGGTAGTGGTAGGGTATTTAAAGCTCTCCCAGATTTTTTCTTGGTCTGAATTGTATAGAACAAAATTGCCAGAATCAAGCATCGAAGCTGTGGCAACTTTTTCGGTAGAATCAGTAATGGATATATCTCGTGTTGATCTCAGAATGAGCCTTCCATCAGTTGTAAGAATATTTTTAGCGCTGCTTGGAACAGGAGGATCATCTCGGCTGGCCGTCCAAACCACAGTCTTCTGTTGAACTCCAGCAAGAAAAATTCTAACAGCATACCCCTTATCTTGCTGATAAAATCCAAAGGCATATAGGCCAGAAGGGGATAGCCATACGGGTTGGCCTGTGGGTGTTAGAGACGAGCCTAGACTTATATTGGAATGCTTTGGTTGAGCTACGGCAGTTGAAATGATGGAGGTAGACAGAAGAAAAAGTAATAAAATGGCAGCCATAGCCAAAGAGTATAGATTCAATTCCTTTCTCCGGTTTTATGAACTTAAGAGTTATAAAATTGTTAGATTTATGCTTGAAAAGTTTCCGATCGCCAAGAGATGGGTCTGAAATGTCTTCCCATTATTTTCCCATTCAAAACGGTAAGGCCTTAATATTATTGTCTTCGTCAAGAGACTTATGCATGCACGATTTCTCGTCCTCCCGAGCACCAATTCAAAGTCTGGGGATATTTAGCGAAGTTTCTGCAAAGATTTTTCCATTGCAACTATTCAAAGGGTTTTCGTTTATTACAATTAACAAGGTGGCCCTAAAACGCGTTTTAATACATACATAGCAATTCTTCAAGAATCTTATTTCATTTCTCCCTTACCCCTACGACGTTATCTTATTCAAAAAAATTTAAACTTATGTATTCGTAAAGTCGAGATTTTATATTCATAGAGCAAGTCTAATAAGCAACTCATGATAATTTGATTTAAGGTAAATTATTTAAAAAAAAAAAAACCCTGTGGTCACAGGCCAAATAATTTTGATCCTTGAAAATATAAAAAGTGCCACGTTATTATACCCTGAGATTTCTTTCATTAATTTCCAAATCAACACTATTACAAAAACGTATATGACATTATCATTGATATATATGACATTGATGGAGGTAAGTGTAACAAGAAATTCAAAGAATAAAGGATAATAAAGCAAGTTTATTAATATCATATCGTATAATATTTTAATTTTTTTTTAAAAGTATATGTTAATATCAATTGTTTCGATATATTATTTTAGATTTTTTCATTTAATACAAATATATTTATAAATAAACATTAATTTGTACATAATAATACTATTAATAATAGGCAAAATAAATATAAAACACTTTAAAAAACTAAATAAATAAGTTTAAAAGCACAACAAAAAATATCATTAATTTATCATGATATTTTTAAACATTTAATCTGATCATATGATATTTATATAAATAATTGTTCATGTAAAATTAAGATAAAAGTAAAGAGATGAAAAAGAAATTAATTTTAACTTTACGATTCTTAAACTTTAAGGAGAGAGCACAATTACTTTCTTGAAAAAAATTAAAATACTTATAATTATTTGTTTGAAAAAATAAAGTGTAAAAGAAAACAAGTTATTGTAAAAAATAAAGAAATCCAAATTTTAAGGGTTCTTTTACTCATTAATTTTATTTTTATTATGTTATAAAAAGTCAAACAACAAAAAAAATTAAAAATTATAAAACATATTTTACATTCAAATACTAGCTGAAACAAGTTATTCTATCAAAGTTCACCCCAATCAACTGAAACAAACAAAAATAACCTGTTTATCCAATATAAATTCGATAAAAAAACTCTACTCTTAATTATATTGTATTTTAATATAACTGAAGCATGTTAACCGAGATGACCAATACTAAAATGAAATTTACATCAATGTAACGAAAAAAAAAAAAAAGAAAGGGAAATTGATAAATGATTTTGACTTTAAAATAACGAAGAAAAAAAAAAACCTCAAAAGGGGTTAGTGTAACTTTTTTTTTTTAAGCCACGGAGCATATTTTATTATTTGTCTTTAACCGTACGGTGAAATTTTACATCCAAGTTATAATTTAAAAAGAAAAACAAAAGATGTTACAAATGTCAAGAGAAAATAAAATACACTTCTATTGTTTAATTAAGGGGTTTCTTTGGAACTCAGGGTTTTGCACGAGGAGTTTTCATAGTCTTGTCAGTATGCAGGTGTTCTTAGTTTCAGTATATTAGAGTAGTAATAAGCTATTTTAAGAACTCCGTGGTTAAGATCTCATGAAGTTATGATAATTGCAGACGAGTTAGAAAGCAAATGGTCAAAGCTAAAGCTAATTTAAGAAGAAAAAGAGGGCATTGAATTTGAGGGGCTAGAAGAGGAATTGAATCCATTGGAGGTCTTTCAGTTAGTGGGGAAGCTACTAACAACAAGATGTTCAATAGGGAAACAATGATCAATACATTCCAGATGATATGAAAGTTGGCCTGAGAGATGACAATGATGGTGTTGGAACCAGACTTATTCATCTTTAAGTTTGGGTCAAAGAGTGATAAGAAGAGAGTCCTCGAAGAGTCGTCATGGTCGTTTGAAAAGAACCTTTTAGTTTTTAGAAAGTATAATGGTGATCTAAAGCCAACAGATTGCTCTTTTGATAGAGCAAAGTTTTGGATTATGGTGTATGTGTTGGCATTGAAAATGCTGACCAAAAATATGGCAAAAAGGGTAGGAATGAAATTGGGAGTATTGAAAGGTGTGGACCATTACTGTTTGTTTTCTATGGGTGGAATCTTCTTAAGAATATGAGTGGAAATAGATATCACAAAGCCTTTGAGAAGGTGTGTTTTTATTGTAGGGAAGAACAAAGAAGATGGCTTATAGAGGCAATTAAGGTATGAGCTTCTCCCAAATTTTTCCTATGTATCTAGGAAACTGTGCTATACTGAATTGGATTGTGGAATGGAAGCAGAGTTAGAAAGAGAAAGAGAGGACAAGCAGTATGTGTAATGGATGCGAGCTTCACCAATAAAAAGAGGATGCTTGGCTTATATGACCAGAAACCAATACCCAACACGTAAACAGTACAATGAAGAGAAAGAAAGGCCTAGCATGCCCACGAACAAATATGGAAGTGGGGATGTGGGAGGAACAATTGTCAGCCCCAAATCTAAAGATTTAGGATGTAACAATGCCGTGTACTCATGAGACAAGTCCCACGAGCATGCAAGGTAATAGATATTATACTAATCAAACTCCAAAATATCATATTAATTTAAAATCAAACTCCAAAGGGTATTCAAAATTTATAGTTTACAAACCAAAGTCTCTGAAATTCACGTGTTACATTTGATCAAAAAATACAACAATATTTTAATTTTATTATATCAAGGTACGTATATTACAAGCTATATGATGACAAAAGATAGATGAAGTCTTGCAACATAATATTTTGTTAAAACTAAGCCTTGAAGATGCAAATATAGAAATATGAAAAGTAAAAAATAAATTAAAAGAATGAATATGATGACTCAGCAAGTAACCAACGTCTTTTCAATTGGATTAGGCATGTCACAAAATATTTAGGCCAAAATATAACTAAAAGATTAAAAAATATTTTGGCTAATCTTGACTTCGCAAACATATTTTCACAAAACATATTCTCAAAACCAGATTCTCAAATCATAAAATAGAATCAAATATCACAAAATTATAAATTTTATTAGTTTTCTGTAACGTACTATGACCACACTTAACTCATGTGATATAGGATAGAATAAAAATTTTTCTTCTAGTGCAATAGGACAAACGTATGTTAGAAATAACTAGGTCGTTACACTAACAATCATAATTAACCCATTAGTACAATGAGACAGAACAAAAATCACAATAACCCTTTTAGTGTAATGGGACATAATTATGTCACTGATGGTACGATGACCAAAAATCACTATTTTCAATAGGTGGCACAGTTTGAAACCAGTATCAATATCACAAAATACATGTTGACATAGCCAACAATTAATCCTCATTGGCAAGCTCAGAACATAGTCATATTAGGAGACAAAAAATCAAAATATATTTTCAGATTACCTAACATACACAAATTAAATATTTATAAATTTTCTCAAAACATAATCCATACAAAGTAAAATCTATAATCATTCCATAATGATTAGTTTGTCCTTAGCTAAATCCATGTCTCCTTACTAACTTTCCAAAGCCATCAAACCAAGCCTTCAAACCAAGCCTTCAATGATTGTTTTAAACCATGAAGAGACTTTTTCAATTTGCATACCTTCATGTCATTGTTTTCCTTTCAAAATCAAGAGACAAATCCATATAAACTTCTTCATCTAGCTCCCCATTAAGAAAGGCATTCTTGACATCCGTTTGGTGTAATGGCCAATTAAGATTAGTAGTTAGTGAAAGTAGTACCCTTGTAGTATTCAATTTAGCAATTGGAGCAAAGGTTTCAGTGTAGTCTACTTTAAAAGTTTGAGTAAATCCCTTTGCAACTAAGTGGGTCTTGTGTCTATCTATTCCACCATCTGAACTATACTTAATAGTAAACATCCATTTACATCCAATTGGTGTTTTTTCTCTAGGTAACTCCATAACATCTCAAGTCTCATTCCTTTTCAATACTGTCATCTCTTTAAGTATAGTAGCTTACCATTCTAAGATTTTTAGAACTTCATGAATATTTTGTAAAATTTTAGTTACCTTAATCTTTTTTTATCATAGCGTGAAATGTAGTAGGCAAATGACTGTATGATAAATAATTGGACAAAAGGTGTTGAGTGTAGGATCTTACACCTTTTTTAAGTGCTATACGTTTATATAGACCATTAGGTGGAGTATTCACTGGTAATGGTGTGGTAGGAACAATCTTTTCTGATTCAAAATTTACTTGTGAATCGGTATTCAGTGGTGATAATGTTATAGGCTTAGCATTTTCTAATTCAGAATTTACTTAAGGATCAAATTCTTGATAATATGGCCAGGACACAAAAATTTATACTTCTTGAAGCTATGGTTTACATCATGAATAAACGCAGATCTCTGTTGTTTATTAAGGATTAACCATAGATGAATCTATCCCTATTTCTAACTTAGCATATGTTGGTGACACAATAGGAATAGTAGATGTTATAAGAATTGGAATGGAATATTCTTAAAGCCTATCTTCACCTAGTATCTCCCCATGAAGAATTAGTTTTGGGTAAAAGGGTTGATTTTCAAAGAATGTGACATCTAATGAGACAAATATTTGTTTCATGGATGAACAATAGCACTTATACCTTTTTTTAATAGAAGAGTACCTAATAAAAATATATTTTATAGCTCTAAGTTCTAGTTTTCCACAAGATGGACTTTTGTTGTTAACAAAATATGTGCAACCAAAGACTTTTAGGGATAAAGAGGTAAAAATCATAATTCACAGATATGATTAAGGTAACAT